TGGTGGTCACTAGAGAGAATGCAGCTTTAACACATGAAGCTTTGACTAGCTAGCCCTACCACATCTCCCAGCATCAAAACAGGAAGTCAGTTCTCAAGTAGTTTTGTGGACGACGAGTTTCAGCGAAGCGTCTCGGTGTGATCGGGGTCTAATTCTTCATCGACACAGCGTAGGAAGGCACATTGCTATCGCCAGATGAGTGACGACTTTGTTCAGCTCATTTTCTGCAACCAGTGTATTAGCTACCTAGGTCGCTAACTAGCAGACAGCAGGCTAGTCAGCTAGCTAGCTTGATTCCACCATTGTTTAATGCTACACTTGTTACAGACATTGAGACGAACATTGGACTGAGCTAACCATCCGTCTCTTCTTCCCGGCAAATTGCGACAACATTTTCTCACCGTTTCCTTTTCGTACCGGTCAAATGACCACAGAGAACAGTGCGATGTCTGTTCTGCTCCTGTTCTCTAGCCATCGTGAATCACTCACGCTCATTACTTGGACTTATACTATTATAATAAACTTATTCCAATCAGCTGACTGTGAGCTTTTGTTTGACAGGGCAGCTCTATGTGATGATGTCACCGCAGGAGGTTCTGACCGGGTGCAACCAACGGACAATCGCACCTCGCACTCAGCCATACATCGCGTAATGACATCATCGTTCAACAGAAATAAACAAACAACATTTGCATTCTTTAAAATAATCGCCTTACATCCAGGAAGTGGATCTAACTTTGTTTTAACTCTTTTTTTAATTTTAGAAAGCAGGAAGCTCCTCGCGGCTCCAGAGACGATAAACGGCGAGCTCAGCACAACGAAGGTCAGGAGTGTAAAGATATAGATGTGCTTCAATATAAATATCAGAGCAGGTTTGAAGGATTTAGAGTAAAGTCACGTCTTCGTTGTTCCAACAGTTGAGCGCCGGCGTCGGGACAAGATCAACAACTGGATCGTGCACCTGTCGAAGGCCATCCCCGACTGTAACATCGACTATACCAAGACGGGACAGGTGAGTTCAGACTGAGAGAGAATGAACCAGTAGAGGAACGTAGACGTTCACATCGTAACGTCAGAGAGGACTCAGAAGACAGGACGGGGTCTGTAACATTTCTTCAGATATCTGCAAACACGTGACGTCATTAGAGTTAATTTGCCTCCTGTGACACGCCGACCAACCACTGTTTCAAAACTATCACTAGAGTGTGTGAAGCTCTCATGTCGACTGTATTAGTAGATCCAGAATTAGATGAGGAAGACCTGGTAATACATGTGGATGGGGAACTATGGGATGAATGTGCAGAAATGTGAATTAGATATAGATATAAATTCTAGATATAGACTGACAACAGCTCTATATCACTCCATATAAACTACACAAATACAACTCCAATATCTCGCCCTGTCGCGCTGTTCACTGTCTCTCCATGTTTCTTTAGTTATGTAACTTTACTGTCATTGTTGTTTATTTCATTTTAAAGTTTGAGTTGTTTGTAGTTTTGTTGACTTCGTACTGTTGTTTATAGTTTAATGTCTGCGTGTGTGATTGAGAAAGAAAACCCGTCCCTTTCTATAGTTTCTGAGTTGTGTTGTGTGTTGTTGTGTTTTTCAGAGTAAAGGAGGAATCTTGTCCAAAGCCTGCGAGTACATCAAGGAGCTCCGACAGAGCAACCTGAAGCTGGGAGACGACATCAGCACTTTGGATCGACTCCGGATCGACAACCAGCTGCTCAGACAGGAGGTCAGGGGTCAGCTGGAGTTTAGGGATCATTCCATTTATATATTTGTAACATATTATAAACTCTACAGCACGTACGATACCATTAGCCAATCATTGATAATCCATATTAACAGATACAGATCCCTTTGTTTGATTAGAGCAGCTGGTCTACAAGGATCCACCGTCACAAAAATCATTTAAACGCTCTGAAGTCTGTAAACCATCAACAATACTAAATGGTTAACATTAAAACTTTATTTACACTCTGATGGTTAACGTTTAAACTTTATTTACACTGATGGTTAACGTTAAAACTTTATTTACACTGATGGTTAACGTTAAAACTCTATTTACACTCTGATGGTTAACATTAAAACTTTATTTACACTGATGGTTAACGTTTAAACTTTATTTACACTGATGGTTAACGTTAAAACTCTATTTACACTCTGATGGTTAACATTAAAACTTTATTTACACTGATGGTTAACATTAAAACTTTATTTACACTGATGGTTAACGTTTAAACTTTATTTACACTGTGATGGTTAACGTTAAAACTTTATTTACACTGTGATGGTTAACGTTAAACTTTATTTACACT